AGCCTAAACAAGATAACCAACCTTGACTACCCATTCTTCTAAATACCTTTTGTAATCCTTCTATAAAAGAAATAAAATTTTGCTCATTTATCAATAAAATTCCCTTCCATTTCCTTTCTCTTGACCAAATATTATGGAAATGCCTCTTTATTAATATGCGCAAAGACTTTTAATCAAAGATCAAACATGCATCTAAAAAAGGGAAGCGTATAAAAATAATAAGAGAATAAACACCTGCTAGGATATTCTTAGGTAAAAACTAGGGTAGCCTCGCTAGATCGCAAACCCCAAAAAAGACTGGTCTAGGCAAAAAATAAGGCAAAAGCCCCCTAAGATATCCTAGGCAAAAATTGAGGCAGCCCGCTAGATCGAAAACCCGTAAAGGGCGGTCTAGGCAAAAGATAGGGCTAAAACCAAAAGATGAGTAAAAGATGAGCCCATCATTAAGGTCATAAAAAGAGGAGCCCATAGGCATATTCATAAGAAGCCAACTGGAGAAGGCCAGCTACTTTCTAAATGCATTAAAAATAAATAAACAATAGATTGCATTTAGGACATTCACACACAAAATAGTTGCATAATATGACTTTGTCAAAATCAAGAAAAATAATTTTCTTCAAACAAAAATATTAAACATGCATATAAGGAGGTTAGTCTCCGCACTTGTGATTGAAAACGAGAAGCGCCGTAATCCAGCCTCCATATGAAAATCAAAATCGCGAAAAACGAAATCAAAATCATTTCAGCAACATAAGGAACTTCAAAGAAACTAGTTCCAACCATCAACCTTCTACAATAATAAAAGAAGGTACATCGAAAGAAGAAAGGCTAACGGAAAGGCTTGACCATACCCAAGCAACGGATCCTTGCCTACTCCGGAGGCAAGACAAAAAGATTACCTCGCGACTAAGCTTCATCACCACATGAGTCATCAAGCACACTCACGCAAGAGTCTCCATTTCATTCCCCAAAGAAGAATAAGGACTACACAAGAGTCCATCGAAAGAAAGCACAAAATCAAAACATCCCAATCACTAGGGGGCAACAAAAAGAAAGAAAATAAAAGCCTTTCATCCTCCAACAAAGGCCACTACATGAAAAAGCCGAAAGAAAATCCCCAAGAAGAGCACATCAAGAAAAATCTACAAAAGCGTAAAAGGAGAAATTTCCATCCCCAGGAAGCCAATAAAATTCCCAGTGGATCATTACAAAAAGAAGAGAAAATATATATCTTTCCATCTAACGTGCATAAAAGGCGCACATACAAACCCATTCCCCAGCAGAAATAAAAGCATAGACAAAAGCCAGTTCAAGCAATAAGGAGTCAAAAACTCCATTTTCCCTCTAAGGGGGCAATTCAAAAGAGATCTCAAGTCAGAGCAATCAAATTCTCAAAAGAAAAAATTTCACCTAGGTGAGCTTACAACGTAACTACTGTTTGCTCAAAATAAGCAAAGAGCTAATATCCCAAAGAAATGGGAAATTAACCTATGCGAGAGGTAATGCAAGCCCAAAAGCATAAAAGTCTTCACCATCGCTGAAGCAATTGCCTAATCAAGAGGCACAATCAAAGTCCCCAATAAATTCCTCAACGAAGAATCCCCGTAGAAACAGGATGACTAAAATAGAAAAGTCAAAAAGAAAGAAAATCAATCATTCCTCACGGAATAGGCGCATGATCGGAGACAATAAATCGCCAGAACCGGGTGAGGGTACGTACTCACCTAAGCCTTGCAAAACGGGGCTTACAAAAAACTTATACCGGGTGGGGGTACATACTCACCTAAGCCTTGCAGAACTGGGCTTACCAAAAACTTCATACCAGGTGGGGGTACGTACTCACCTAAGCCTTGCAGAACGGGGCTTACAAAAAACTTCATACCGGGTGGGGGTACGTACTCACCTAAGCCTTGCAGAACGGGGCTTACCAAAAACTTCATACCGGTGGGGGTACGTACTCACCTAAGCCTTGCAGTAACGGGGCTTACAAAAAACTTCATACCGGGTGGGGTACATACTCACCTAAGCCTTGCAAAACGGGGCTTACAAAAAACTTATACCGGGTGGGGGTACATACTCACCTAAGCCTTGCAGAATCGGGGCTTACAAAAACTTCATACCGGTGGGGGTACGTACTCACCTAAGCCTTGCAAAACTGGGCTTACCAAAAACTTCATACCGGGTGGGGGTACATACTCACCTAAGCCTTGCAAAACGGGGCTTACAAAAAACTTATACCGGGTGGGGGTACATACTCACCTAAGCCTTGCGAAACTGGGCTTACAAAAAACTTCATACCGGGTGGGGGTACGTACTCACCTAAGCCTTGCGAATCTGGGCTTACCAAAAAAACTTCATACCGGGTGGGGGTACGTACTCACCTAAGCCTTGCAAAACGGGGCTTACAAAAACTTCATACCGGGTGGGGGTACATACTCACCTAAGCCTTGCAAAACGGGGCTTACCAAAAACTTCATACCGGGTGGGGGTACGTACTCACCTAAGCCTTGCAGAACCGGGGCTTACCAAAAACTTCATACCGGTGGGGGTACGTACTCACCTAAGCCTTGCAGAACGGGGCTTACCAAAAACTTCATACCGGGTGGGGGTACGTACTCACCTAAGCCTTGCGTAACGGGGCTTACAAAAAACTTCATACCGGGTGAGGGTACATACTCACCTAAGCCTTGCAGAACGGGGCTTACAAAAACTTCATACCTAGTGGGGGTAAGTACCCACAAAAGTCTAGTCAAATACAGACTTAAACCAGATAGGGGTTAGTACCTATCAAGATATTTATCATCCGGAGGATCAGCAAGGAGCAGTATCCGAAGGATAGCCGGGCAAAAGGGTTAACTCCTTCCCCTACCAACTAATTATGTCGGCATGTTAAAGCCAACGAATTAGTTAGGCAGGTGAAGGGGGGCAGCTGTAGACCCCTAATTTTGCCCGGCCTCTCAAATAAAAGCTAGGGAAACGTCATACAGCTTCACCCGGCTTCATATCAAAGAAAAACCAAGAAGGACCTCCCACAACGAAGACTGAGTTCACTCATTCACACGGTAAAAGCCAAAAGAGACTTCCTACACAAAGACAAAGCTCGCCCGGCATCTTAATGAAGGCCAAGAAGACTTCCTATATGAAGATAAAGCTTCAACGGACACACATCGGCATCAATCTATGTCCGAAAAAGGAAAGGAAAGCTTCCCGGGGTCCCAGAACACGAAAACTGGACAAAACAGGCCGGGACCACGGTCCCAAAAGTGGGACGGCCGTCCCAACTGCAATTAAGCAGTTGGGACGCGCGTCCCGAATGTGGACGGCCGTCCCAAACCCAGCTTAAGTGGGACGGCCGTCCCGGCCTTCCCTGGGGTCCCGCTCCGTGTAAATTTGCCATTTGGGACGGCCATCCCAGTCCGGACGGCCGTCCCAACCCGGACGGCCGTCCCAAAGCGCGCCAGCTGCGAAAAACTATAAATAGGAGGCTCATTTGCCACTTTTTCACACCACGGACACTCCGGAGAGCTCCGAAACACTTTAGAGCACTTGTCTACTTCTCTCTCTCTCTCGAATGATCTTTCCGATTGCCTTAAATAGGTAACAATCGGTTAAGGAATTATATTCCGGCATTTGATTCTTCTTTAAATTTTTAGTAGAGTCGATCTTGTATTGGTGAGGAGAGACTGTGTAGAGAGAGGGGTTGCCAAAACGCATCCTCACGGTTCGAGGTTCTCAATATAAAGCTTGCTACTGGAGGTTCTTTTCAATTCCCTTCTCTTTTATTGTTTTATTTATTATTTTATTGTTTTATTTAGCTTTATTATGTCATGTAGAATAGGATCATGTAGATAGCTATTTTAATATCTCTTTTATTGCTTTATTTAGCTTTATTCATCATTTTATACACGCAACATAGAATAAAATCATGTAGATAGCCATTTAATATTATGTAATAAAATAGGGTAATCGCGTAATTTCTCGTAGTCTTTATTTAAATGAATTAATCTGTCATAGGGAACCCGAAAGGGGCGTTGTGGGGTGCTAACACCTTCCCCACACGTAACTAACTCCCTTACCCAACTCTGGTTATAATGGCCAAGTGCGGTTTTTCTTAAAATCAACATTTTTTCCTTTTCCAATGTTTATGGTCAAAACATTGGTGGCGACTCCATAAGAACCCCTTTTCGAAAACCTTTTAAAACAAAAACGCGAGTCTAGACCATCTTTTCGCGACCGCTCGCATAAACGTTTCTAAGACGTCCCCCTCCGGACGTCGGAAAGGGACGGCGGCGACAGCAACTTCACCTTTTTATGTTTACCTCCAACACCATACGTAGCAACCAAAATGTCCCACACCTCCTTTGTCGCGTCTGCCATGGAAATCCTGTTAAAGATAGATGAACTTAGGCACTGATAAATAAAAAATCGAGCCTTGCCATCAAGTTTTTGTTGTATCTTATAAGCCTTCTTTTCCTCATCAGTGGCTTTGGGACCAGGTTGTGAAACGCCTTGCTCAATTACCTCGGCAACATCTTGAAAGATGAACACAACCTTCATCTTGATTCTCCAATCATTGAACATGCTTCCATCGAAAATAGGTAGGCCACCTTGAATGATGCCACTAGTCTCAGCCATGTTATGCCTCTGATCACCCTCCTGAATTCCTTTGAGTTATCTCATTTTTTAACAAAGATGTAACTCCTTCCAACCTTGGAAAATGCACACACACCACTCTACATTGCACACAATATAAGTGACCCAGCTAGCATGCACGCTCCAAGAACCAAATTTGGATCGTAAAAGCTCTTGATACCATGTAAACACACATAAAAAGCTACTGAATAGAGAACAATATGCTTCCTCTTATTATTCAAAAACAAGAAGAACATGGTTTATATGCAATGAATAATAGACGTAACTAACTAAACAAATTTAACAACCCAATGTAAATACCCATGAATTTTGACTTAACTAACAACAGACCTAGGTGACCTTTCACCCTAACCTCGTTGAGCTCCAACCCCCAACCACGACGACATGACGCCATCCTTGCTATTGAAAATGATTTTGTTTATATTGGCATGCCAAAGCACACTGGGTGGAGGAAATAGAAATTTGGGTGTGTGTAGCAACCGCACCTAGGTTGGTGCAGACAAGGCTCATTATAAATCCTATAGCCCTTTTTAGGGTCGCTACTCCAAATGTGATTGTAACGTCGTGTGGGTGTTTGGGCGGTGCGGTGTGGTGTTGGTCCCAATCTAGCGGTCCTGCCTGAAAACCTCACAGTTGGCCATTGCGGGACAATTGGTCGAGTGGTAGAGGTCACAGTCACTCTGTTTGTTGAAGAAAGCCATGACCCCAAGGTTTTTTTGGATACACTTGCTTTGAGGAAGAGGGCGGACATGGAGTTTGCTAACTGAAATTTCACCCAAGCTAAACTTTTGCTCTCATAGGGACACACCAACCAAAGTAAACTATTCTCCTTTCTCTGCTTTACTTTTAATTTAAAGAGATAGACTACTCATTCTTCCTTTCTATATTTTCAAATTAATTGATATAGGCTATAAATTAAAAACCATTTGGTGGCATACATATCACATTTAAATGCAAGTTTGCTAACTCATTATACCAGGTTTCACCAATGTGCTTCCTTTGTTACTTTGCTATGATATTATCTATTTTGACATTTGATATTTAGGTAATTTGTAAGGCTGGAATTGGGCAACTATTTAGCTCATTTAGGACATTGTCTATTATAAAAATATAATACATTGTTTCTAATCCTGTTGGAAGCATGTGTCAAAGTAAACAATACTGTAGACCCCTAATTTTGCCCGGCCTCTCAAAATAAAAGCTAGGGAAACTTCACATGAAAATAAAGTTCACCCGGCTTCCTATCAAAAACTGAGAAAGACCTCCCGCAACAAGACGGAGTTCACCCATCCATACAATAAAGACTAAGGAGACTTCCTACACAAAGATAAAGCTCGCCCGACATCTCAAAAAGGATCAAGAAGACTTCCTACACAAAGATAAAGCTTCAACGGACATATATCGGCATCAATCTACGTCCGAAAATAGCAAAGAAAGCTTCCCGGGGGTCCCAAAACACAAGAGCTGCTAAAAACAGGTCGAGACAACCGTCCCAAAGTTGGGACGGCCGTCCCAAAAAACCTAGGACAGTCGAGACGGCCGTCCCAAATGACACTGGCCGTCCCAAATGACACTGGCCGTCCCACACATTCCAGGGGTGGAGTCAAGAACAAAAAATTCAACTAGGACGGCCGTCCCAAACACAACTGGCCGTCCCAACCTGACTCAGTGCAAATTTTGCATTTGGGACGGCCGTCCCAACCCAGACGGCCATCCCAAAGTTCCAGGCAAAAAAAGGCTATAAATAGGAGGCCCTTAGGTCATTCTCCACACCCCAGACAACTCCAAGACTTGTCTTCTTCTCTCCCTCCTTCGAATGATCTTTCTGATTGCCTTTAATAGGTAACAATCAGTTAAGGAATTTGTATTCCGGCATTCGATACTTCAGTAAAAGTTTAGTCGAGTCGATATTATTTTCGAGAGGAGAGTCATTGTAGAGCGAAGGATTGTCGCAAAGCATCCTCTGTGTAAAAGACTTATAATATAAAGCTTGCTTTGGAGGTTCTTCTCAATTCTCTTCTCTTTTACTGCTTTATTTATTGCTTTTTGTATGCAATGTAGATAAAATCATGTAGATAGCCATATTTAAATACTATATGAATAAAAGAGGGTAATAGCGTAATTTCTCGTAATCCTTACTTAAATGAATTAATCCGTCATAGGAAACCCGAAAGGGGCGTTGTGGGGTGCTAATACCTTCCCCACACGTAACTAACTCCCTTACCCGACTCTGGTTATAATGGCCAAGTTTGGTTTTTATTAAAATCAATGCCTTTTTCTCCTTTTCCAATGTTTATGGTTAAAACATTGGTGGCGACTCCAAAAGAACCCTTTTCGAAATCCTTGCTTCTATTAGAGGATAGTTCAGGTGTTGAGCGCCTCGAAGCAATGAACATATTTTTAACAAAAAACGCGAGTCTCAATCATCTTTTCGCGACCGCTCGCATTAACGTTCGAGACGTCCCGAGATCGGCGGAACGGACGGCGGCGACGGATGGCGACTCCACCGGGGAAGCTAGAGAGTTGATCCCATTTAGTGACGGATAAATTCAAACTAAGTAAAGATTTGAAATTACGCCTTTACCCTTTTCTCGTATTTTTATTGTATGGCTTTAATAACCGCTGTATGATTACTTCGCAAATTGTTTGAAATATAAATTGCACACAAAACCCTTGCACACAACAGTCCCTCTATACCCGGGGCAAGAGTGAATACCTATAGGGAGTGGGTGGCGGATACGACCGGCTTGTTGGCACACGGGGCTACAACCGTTGTCTGAAACCACCAACTCAAGGTGATAACTCTCTTCTTTTGGTCTAAGGATGTCGACACGGAGTTCCGTGCATGACCCGAGGATCGAGAGATTGAGAGGTCCCTATAATGGGGGCACCTTGGGGACCTTTGGCCTTGGTGAGAACAGTTAGAACCTCCTAAACCAAGCACGTTTCGCAGGAAAACCCTACCTCGTGATTAAATAAGCGTGGCTCGCTCGTGGATGTATGAATTGTGTGTGCATACGTTTGCTGCATTTGTATTGATGCATTAGCATAGGGTAATCATACAACAAACAAAAAATGAAAAACCCTAAAAATCACAAAAAGTGATAAGATAAAAGACCTTTATCTCGGACAGTCTTCAGTTAAGCTAGCCTGGTTTCAGGTTCTTTGTAAGCTAAGTAGCCACGTTGACCGACAGAAGAGATAAAGGCTCATAAAAAATATAAAAGCAAATCAAAGTCATGAAAATATCTCTGTTACAAAAATAAAAGTTTTTTAACAAAAGTCCTATAATTCATACCATTCATTGCTCATAAAAATAAAAAGAGAAGAAAATAGGACTCTCTTCATTAAAATCCATAAACATTCATATAGATAAAGCTTTCCTTTCAAGAAAAACCCAGTACTATCATGCATCATATTAGGAATAAAACATGATAATACTTAGAAAAATAAACACTTGCATACATGCATTTACAAAAATTCATCCTCATATCATGCATTTTCACTTTTGCTAGATAATGGAGGGATCCGGTAATAGACAGTTAAAGAAAGTGGAGATCCTTCTATGCCGTGTAGAGAAGTTAAGGTAGTTGTGTACATATATGCCGCCGTAGGTCTCGCGCTAGTTTTGAGAAATCTTATGGAAGAATTCTTGACCTCTTGAAGATCAAGTATTGATCCAATATTTGTTAGAGCATTGGTCCACTTCGGAGTCCCAATCTACACTCGCTTTGAGTTCTCGTAGTTTGACTTGGTACCAACCTTAGAAGAATATGAACTCATGGTCGATGGCCTCGACCAGCTTGGGGTCTATGTTTGCTCAGGAGTATACGTAGCCATGAGTAAGGTTGCTACTATCATACGACTGCCTCCTCATCAATCCACCCTAGAGGGAAAAGGGAATATCAGAGGTTGGAAAATGGCTGTAATAGAGGACCACTTAGTTTCTCTGGCTGAAAAGAAAGATTGGTCTACATTCAACAAAACTCTAGCATTGGCAATGTTTGGAATCATATTGTTCCCATTTCATGTGAACATTATGGATCATGCCGCAATAGATGCATTTTTTGCCTGGGATGTGTACTCAAAGAGTCCTATACCCGCAATCCTCGCCGACACCCTCGCTTCCGTAGACTTTTGCCGACGTAAACAGGGGAAAACACTTAGATGCTGCACTTTGTTGCTATACGTATGGGGCGTCACTCATTTCTACGCTTCAAGCCACATGGGCGTATTTCCTGATCCTCTGAGGAGTTTTTCAAAAATCCCTCTTCAACATCGTCAAGCCTTAGAGTGGAAAACCGAGTTAGAAACTGGAACATAGAGCATGTATCATGGGTTTGCCCTTGGTTCCGACCCGGTTATATTCTCGTACGATGCGGAGATTACCTGAGCATACCACTTCTAGGTCTCGGAGGTTGTATAGCCTACTCTCCTAAGATGGCTATGAGACAACTTATGAGAACCCGCACCGCGCCAACTCGGGAAGAGCTCGGAGGGTTGAGTCTATGCCATTATTCCCATAGCTTTGAAGAAGTATCTCGTCGTCCGAAAGCATGGGAAAGACCAGTCTACATGGGAGATAAAGAACTCTGAAAGGTTCAGTGTATCTACATCCCATGAATATGAAGAATGGAGGAAAAATAGAGGGATACCCCAACCATCTCGCTGCATTCACTAAAACGTTAGTCGTGGAAGAGCTACAATTGCAGTGTCAATGCCTTAAACAAGAGGGTTGAAGTCATGGAAGCTCAGCCTAAGGGCTTTTGAAGAAAAAGAGCAAGAATCAACCGTTATAATAGATGGTCTAAAAAGGCAATGTAGAAAGAAGGACCACGAAATAGAGCATCTTAAGAATGATTGTGCCGACTATCGTGAAGAGACTAAACAAGCATTGAAGATTCCGAGACTTGAGCAAGATAGTCTCGTTCCGGGACATGAATGACGAAATAGCACATCTTGAGAGCACGCTTGCGTAACAGTGCAAGAACGATCAAGTTAATACAAGATGACCTAGCAAATACTCTGGTCGAAGCACGTAGTGGTGGGAAACCGCTGAAAAATACAGAGTAGACCTAGAGGAGCTACATGAGAAAGAAAAAGATGGATTAGCTCAGCATGGTCAATTACTTTTTGAAAGAGACCGAATAATAAGGAGGTCTCGATCAGCAGCATGCCTTGATCGTTCATCGAGAAGAGAAGATAAAAGAGGCTCGTCGATATAGTGAAGATATGAGCCGAGGCAGATCTCGAGCAAATCAAGACGCTCGTAAATCACGTGATAATAGCTGAAGACGAATTACGAAGAAAGCCTAATTTACCTATAGGATTCTTCAAGCTTTTTCGCTTTTGTCAACACTTGCTTCAAAGCATTGTATAGAAGGATACACACTTTCTAATAAAAGGATTTTTTTTTCTCTCCTTAAATTGTCTATTGCATTCATAAGTTGCATACATTCACATATCCCTCCTCGTTTTAATAATAAAAATAATAAAAAGAAAGGATTAACTGATGTGCTTTCCACAAATCAGAAAAATGGAAAAGAAGCCTTTCGTCATCAAAATCTCTACGACGGTCAATAAACCCGAAGATAATAACAAACAAGCACCGTTAATCATTCCAAACACTAAAAGGGAAGAAGCAATAACGCCTTTACGCTTATTCGTACCGCGTCCTTTCCCTTATTCATCAAATAAAGTTGTACCTTGGAGATACTCAGAAGAATTGCCAGATAATCAAGATATCTCCAA